GATAGGACAATATTTGGCCGAGATACAACTATTTGAAAATCTGGAATCTGAGGGTGCAAAAAAATCCCTCTTTAAAATTGTCCAAATGAAGTTCTTAGCCATGCATATTACTAATAAAAAAATTAAGTTTTGATATTTATTGTAGTTGAAATTTACAAAATATCTTCATGGAACATGATCTTTACTTAATATCCTAATGATTTTTGGCATAAAAGAAAAATCGATCATTTTGACCCATACAATGTATTTTTGGCTATTTCTATAAATATACCCATGCTACTTATGACTGCTTTTGTGGTCCAGGGTCACATTTGATAAATACAAAGTTAGAACAGCATTGATAGAAATCTTTAGTAAATGATTATACATATCTTCACTGTAACTTTTGATGAATTTAATGCATCCTTGCTAAATAAAAGTATTAGCTATTTAAAAAAAAACATTATTATATATACACACATATTTAGTGAGTTACAGTGTATAATTCAGCAAATTATGTTTTACAATAGACAAAAATGGTATTTAATAGAAAACTGGAGATAGTCTCAATTCTGCTTTGATTCATTCAGCAGAAAGTTTCTTATTACACAACAATAAAAGAGCTCTTATATTTCTTGCGGTTTGCCTGCGGCTAAGTCATAACCTACTTCTTTGACATTGATCGTTAAGAATGCTCGTCAAGGTTCATCATACTTGTCCCCTTAAATAAACTATTGCATTGAGATGTCAGTCATAACAAACAGTAGTGTACATGATGGTGTGTATGTGTTTGTTTGGAGAAGATACATTACCAGAGTTCAGTGCCATGAATCAGTTTTTTAATTAAATCTTGCTTCAAGAAATAAGAGAGGTAGGCTGGCATGGGGAAGCCCTCTCGTGCCAGCTTGATGGAGGGCTCGAATAGTTTGGCCCAGGGCAGCTTTCCATACAACTGATGAGCTTTTTCATAGCCGCGGAGTTCTCCTGGTACACCTATCCAGTGACTTCCTGGTAGACGCATGAACAAATAAAGCACAAAATAGTTACTGGAGTACAATAAGTTACTGTTCAAAAGTTCTGATTTGCATCACAGGAATAAAATACATTTAAAATATATTCAAATAGAAAAGCTCTTTTAAATTGTAATATATTACACCATATGACTGTTTTTACAGAATTTTTGGTCAAATGAATGCATTAACAATAGGTATTGTATGTGTTACACATTTTGAAAAACTTGATTTTTACATTTTCTGAAGATCAATTATAGGATGTTGTGCGTGTTGTTGTTAGGCTGTTAGTTATGTGCCAAAGTTTAATATTAGGGTTAGACATCTATGTAAATCCCTAATCTTAAGTATGAACAATAAGGAAAGGCCAATTTTAAGTCTTGAGTAATACTGGTCTAAAACGAAAAAGAAAAGCCCTTTTAAAGGAACACTGTACACTGCCAAATCAGATTATTTCCAGTTTTAGAAAGCTTTCGGTTTGTTTTCAGTGGACATTAATGCATTACACAGAACAACACAGTGAGTTTCGTTCTTATCCAAGTTACATAAACTATTGCTTTTGGGAAAAAAAATTATCTCTTTTATCTAGAAAGTAAAAATATTACTAAGTCATAATTAGAGTTGCATTTTGTATGCAGGAACAGCGTGTGAACATTTAGGCAACTACACAAAGTCTGGCATTATGGGTAAATATGTTTGGCAATAGTGACTATAATCTGTAAAAATTATATTTTAACTGTCCAGGAAGTACATTTAAGAATAAGAAACAAGCAAAACAAGTCCACTTAAGTACATAATTCCCCTTAAGACAGAATTCCCCTATCCTACGCACACAATGTCCCATTGTACTTCTACATTTTCAAACGACATGTTTATGAAACCTAAAAAAATGTGTCATCGTTTACTCATGACACTTATTATTTTCCTTCTTCCATGAGACACAAAAGCTGAATGTCCAGACTTGTTTTTCACACAATGAAATTGAATGGTGATTTACTGTATACAGCTAAACTACAAAAAAAGTCAAAAATCAATAGTTTTTAATGGAAGAAAGAAAATAATGTGGGGTTGGAATGACAAG